CACACACACACACACACACACACACACACACACACTTTAAAATGTTTTAAATATCACATTTTTAAGAGGAGGAAATATAATAACTCAAGTAGAACTTGCAAATGTTGGAAGAGGGAAGAGAATGGGAAATTATCTTTCTTGACTGGCATGGTGGTGCACACCTTTAATCTGAGCCACAATCTGGTAAATCTTTGAGTTTTGAGGCCAGCCTGGTCTACATAATGAGTTCCAGGACAGTCAGGACTACATAGAGAGACCCTGCCTCAAAAAACCCAAATCAAATGGAACCAAAACAACAACAAACCCTACCAAGTAAGCAAGCAAATAAATAAATAAATAAATGAATAAATGAATGAATTATCTTCCTATTCTTGCCTCCTCGATCCCTACCTCCCTTCCAGGAGGATCCAGGGTTTCTGTTTCTTCTCAGTGCTCTCAGGTAGTTTGTGCCAATTCTAACTACAGTGGAGTGGATGCCCACTGTGATAGAGGTGCAGGTCATATATGTGTACACATACATGCATGCTTACATGGGTTTGCAAAAGCACTTTGGATGAAAGGTAGTCAGAAATAGGTGTAGAAAAATGGACTGTTGTGAGTTATTTACATTATAGAGTTTAAATTAAAGATTAACAAGGAGGAAGACAGTGTAGTAGCCCCTATGTTACAGCCTCTTGGAGTGGCCTCCCAAATTTATAGGAACAATTGAATACAGTGTGTTCTGCTGCTGTCAGGGCCTGCTGGAGGTGGCTTAGGTCCTGCTGCCTGGCCTGGCCATGACTTCCATGGAACAGTTCTGCATGTAACCCACGGAACAGTTCTGCATGTAACCTTAGTAAACATGGGCACTTTGTGCTGGAGAAGACTGAAGGTGCCTCATTCTGTCTCTTCTCTTGTCACACCAGCTGCTATGGCACAGTGTCGTCTTTAAATGGAGAACCGGAGCAGGGTGTCGCGGTGGAAGCTGTGGGACAGAAGGACTGTAGCATATATGGAGAAGACACTGTGACAGATGAGGAGGGGAAGTTCCGGTTACGCGGACTGCTGGTGAGGCTGTGTGTTTTGTTGGGTATTTCCCTCTTGCTGTCAGTAGTGTCCCTGTGGGATAGCGTGGGCTGACAGGATGGAGGTGGGATTCTAGAATCCCATGCCCCTATTTTAGCTGATGTGGTATGGTTGAGAAAGTAAGGCCTCTGAAGGGGGATTGGTGTAACTTTGCCTGGTGCTGAGTGCTTGTGGCATATGCCAGGGCTATGAAACTGAGGGGCACTGTAAGTGACTGACTGGAAAAACAGTAGGGAGTAGTCAGAACTGCAGGGCATGGCACAGGTAAAGTCAGCTCCACATTACACTGCTGCGAGTATAAACAGTATTGCCAAGTAGTAAGAACTTTTAAAAGAGAAACCCCCAAATCACATATTTTATTGACAAAATTCCTTAACCACTATCTCTGAGCCCCAATTCCTGATTTTTGATGTTAACTAGTTAAGAAAAGAAACTATCACCCATGACTTTACTGTTTGGCACAAAGGAGCCATTGTCCCTGGGGCCACTAAGTTACATTTGGCTCTGGGTCTGTGTTGCTCTCTTCCTGAGGTTGAAGTTACTTATACATTCATCTGCTCATTCGGTGTTTACAGAGTCCCCAACAGGACCCTGTGTCTTCTCGGTCATCTTATAGTGAGGTGAGGATATTGGCCCTGGCAGCATGGCGTGTGCTTTGTTCCCCCAGAGTCCTGCTGGCCTGGCTTGTTCTAAGTTCCCAGCTAACACATTTGATTTAATTAAACGGAACTTCTCCATGGTGTTAATTTCCGTTGATGCTCCCCATAGCTGCCCCCTCCCCACCAGTGTTCTCTCATTGGTACTCCTTTAGTGGCTTGCTCCTGGAGGCAGTGTGGGCCTCTACTTGGAAGGCCTCACTCACTCCATGTGAGTCTTCAGTGGTTTGCCCTTCTCCAGAGCAGGGCAAACTGGAGAGACTTTCTTAGATGAAGGATTTCACCTCCACTTAGGTGGTGAGTGCCTGGCTGCATTTGTTCATTTCACCTCGCTGGCCAGGGTACCTGCAGAGACATCTCTGAAAAAAGCTGCACCTTTAGACATGGCTGTTCTCTCAGCTAGGGTTGTTTCATGACCGGAATCAAGCTGAAGAGGAAAGCATTTATTTCAATTCTACTTTATTCATCATCACAGGAAGTCAGGGCAAGAATTCAAACAGGGCAAGAGCTGATGCAGAGGCCATGGAATCCTGCTTGCCTGACATTTTTCTTGACTTAGTGGCTGTACCTGAATGTACTGATATTTCAACTACCCTCTGTGGCCCGCAGTCAGCGCCCTGCCAGCCATCCAAGCCCACAGCTTGGAGGGACTTCCCTGGCTCTGCTGCTGCTATGATGTGTAGGTTTAAACTAAGTCTCTGTTCTGTTTACCAACAAAGATTCAGAAGTTAGATGTGATAGGGTGGAGGCGGTGAAAACCTGCTAGATCAGAGAGGCTGAGAAGCAACCAGCTGACCTTCCTTTTTGACTTATGTCTCTTCCAGCAAGAGACATATCTTTCCAAAATGAAAAAATGGCAGAACTCCGTGTCCCACTCTATTCTATCCTGTGTGTCTCTCTATCCATATTTCTGGCTCCTCCAGACTGTGTGGCTAATACCTGTAAACTAGTTACTGGCTCTGTCTCCTGAACCAAGATTGATTTTATTTAATTAATGTAAATGCAAACTCAGATTTCACAGTGTGATTGACATCCCACAACACTTCCCCCTCATCCTGCTTTCTTATAGCATCCAGGACCACAAGCCCAGGGATAGCACGGCCCACCATGGCTGGGCACTTCCCCATCAATCACCAAGGAGCTGCCCTGCAGAATTGCCTGCAGGCAAATCTTATGGAGGCATTTCTCTTCCTGAATGACTCTAGCTTGTGTCAGGTTGACATAACTGGACAGCACAGCTGCCAAAGGCTGTAGGACAGCCAGCCAAGGGCTAAGAAGGATTGTAGCCTGGCCTGGCAGTGGCAGTGGCTACTATTTCCAGACTTAATAGTACCATCTCTCCTTTGTTTGTCTCATCCCCTCAAGGTGCAAATAACTTGATTAGAACTTCCAGGCCTAATTGAACACTGTCTAATTGTGGTCTTACCTTTAACTGGCTTCTCAGTGTTTTATTTTTAATAATGTTTTACTTATTCTTTGAGAATTTCATATAATAGATTTTGATCATATTCTTTCCCCTCCTCCAACTCTTCCCAGATCGTCTACCATCCTACTACTCAATTTTGTTTTATGTCTCTCTTCAAAAAACCCCTGCAAAGTTGAAGTAGAGCATGCATCTCAGTTTGTGTCAGCTGAATAGTTCTGGGCACAGGGCCTGACCTGGATTGTGGTTGATGTAACCAGTGTCACTTGATGGAAGAAAATCCATTTCCCTCATTCCAAACCTATCAAGTACAAAGAGCTTCTTGGTTATGGGTCGGTGTTTGGACCACTTCTCCTACATGCTGGGTTTTTGTCTGGTTTAAGCTGCAGGTCTTCTGAATGCTGTCACAGTCTCTGAGTTCATGCTGTTTCCTTGAAGTCTACACAGGCCTCTGGGCACTGAGGGGAGGACTGTCATGTAAACGTCCCAGTTAGGGCTGAGCACTTGGAAGTTTCTCACTCTGCAGTTGTGGATTTCCATGTTAATTACCGTCTGCTGCAAGAAGTAGTTTCTCATATCTGTGGCTTAAAACTATGTCATCCGGGAGTCATTTTATTGCTGTGTTCATTTACATTATAATAGTAGGTTTTCCCCTCGGGCGCATGACCTATCTACTCTGGAGTTCTTAGCTGTTTTAGCAGTGTCAGGTATGGATTCCATGTTGTGGAACAGACCTTAAATCCAAAAATAGATTTAAAAAAAAAAACAAGGTGATTGATCACTCCTGCACCATCGGTGCCACTTCTGTTGTTGTAGCTTATAGGGTTTGTAGTTAGGTGAGGCTGAGAATTACTTTTCTCGCCTGGTATTGTGTATAGTGCCTTATAGCCAGTAGGGGTAGTGCTTCCAAGTGAGTGTCCATGTTCTGTGCCATAAGTATTAGGTATCTTAGCAATAGCTTCTTACCATCATGTTGTGGAAGGTAACCTATTAATAGCATTGGGATGCTGCTATAATATTTGGGGGTCTTTGGCACAGTGTATTTTTATAAGTAAAAAAAATCTTTTTTTTTTTTTTTTTTTTTTTTTAAAAAAAAAAAAATTTTTTTTTTTTTTTTTTTTTTTTTTTTTATTATCTCATGTGCTCTTTGTAGAATTCAAGCAACATATAAAAAAGAACAGGATCCTAAAAGGGAAAATGGCCCATAGGCTGCTGTATGGGCCTGAGGCTCCGCGCTCTGCCTGCGCATACAGCAGTGCTCAGCTGCACAGCAGTAGGAGAGCAGAGCTCTGCTATCCAGCTTGTGCTGGTATAAAAATAACTGTCTACCCTGGGTTTTCCTGAGACTTTAACCCATTGCTTCAGAACCTGACTCTGGAGCTGTGCTGGTGGCTGGGAGCTGATTGCTAGAGCTTTTCCAACAATGTTTTTGGTCCTGTAAATTTGAGTACTAGAACAAACATAAATAAGAACATTTAATTTTTTTTTCTTTTAAAGAAAAATGGCCTCATATCCTGCTTGCCTGAGGTCCTGTTCATTGTAAGGATCAACAGTGTGGTTCCAGTTGTCACTGGACCCATGTACAGGTCAAGGCTGGGGTGTGTACAGAGGGAGTAAGAGTCTAGAAGAATAAAGACAAATCAGGAAACGAGGCACATTTAATCCTCTGTGAGTCAGGAAGTATGAGTGAACTGAGCTGGAAGACAGTACAGCACTAATGGTGTCTTGTCGCCAACATGCTTCTAAAAGTGCAGGTTGGGAACAGAGATGTACTATGTGGTGACCATTGTAGCAAAGCCACTTTGGGGTCATGTGTGACAACTTTATAGAGAAGTAACAACTGGTATCTTCGTAGCCAGGGTGCATGTACCATGTGCAGCTGAAGGCAGAAGGCAATGACCACATCGAGCGGGCCCTGCCCCACCATCGGGTGATTGAGGTAAGCATCACTTCTGTGACTTTCCTGTTCTGAGACCCCTTAGTGCTCCTCCAGGGTAGGGTTGTAAATCCCAATTCGATAGCGTCCTCATGAGTTGCGACTGAAGAGGGGCTCTTTTTGGTGTGGTCTTTTTTGTGTATGTGTGTGGTATGCCTGTGCACGTGGGTGTACACACAGGAAGATGTGGGTGGAAGCCACAGGTGGATGTCAGACATCTTCCTTGATCGCCGTACTGAGGTAGGGTCTCTTGCAGAACCTGGAACTCACAGATTCAGCAAGCTTGCCCTGGAGATCCTGTGTTCCCTTCCTGAGTGCTGGGGTTACAGGTTGGCCACCATACCCACCTGTCTTACATGGGTTCTGGGGAATCCAAACTTCAGTCCTGTTCAGTCCTGATCTGTGTGCAGCAAGTGTCATCTCCACAACCCATAGAAGTTTTTTTTTAAAAACTATCCACTATCTTTATTTATTTATTCACAGAGAATTTCGTGCATATATACAATGTGTTTTACTCATATTCATTCCCCTTCCTTCCCTCCTAATTCCCTCCAAATTCATGTCTTCATTTTATTTCCATGGCCCACTGAGTTAGTACTGTTCATAAACACATGGATGTGTGGCCATCCCCTAGAGCAGTCCCCTAGAGCAGGGCTGCCTGGCAGTGGCCACAGCCCCAAAGGAAAACAACCCTTCCTTCCCCAGGAGCCATCAACTGCTGGTAGCTTCTGCGTTCTATAATTCTGTACCCCGTCTATGCTACAGTGTTGACTAGCTGGTCATGAGCAGCTGATATGAGTGCCTGAGTTCATTAGTGCCCTGGCCGTCTGGTGCCCAGAAGACAGCCTCTCGCTGCTGCCCTTCCCGCCCTCTGACATTCTTTCCACAGTATCCCCGGGACTTGGAGTGGCAGTGGGGAGTTTGATGCAGATGTCCCGTTTAGGCATGCACACTAACTCGCTGTTCTCAGGACTCTTACTAGCTATGAGTCTCTCCATGAACCACTGTTTACTGCAAAAATAAGTTCCTCTGACCAGCATTAAGAGCAGCATAGATCTAGGGGCATAAACATAAGTATTTAGAAGGCAGTTTGGCAACGTGACTACTTGGAAAAACAGTAATAGTGCGTTCCTCTCAGCTTTGGGCTTTTGACCCATGTCATTCATAGGAAGTGGCTCAGACACCATTAAAGTGGTAGTCTTCTCTTTGACCAGACAGACTGGAGGACTTCTGTAGAGGCCTGAAGGCATTTGGTGCAGAGTAGTAGGCTCTGTAGGACTTGCTGACCTGGGAACTGGGTTAATGGCCTCTGCCATTTTAAACAGCTGGACAACTGCTGCTCACACCAGAGTGCTTCATGATTTGACTTGTCATGCTCTGGCGGCTCAGGCCAGCCTCTCGGGCAGCAGTGTAGACTGTAGTCAAGAGGTCTGAAAGAGAAGTGAGCTCTCTGGTCTCCACATGGGTGTTGGCATGAGCAGCCAGACAAGCTTTTAAAATATGTTGGTGGGTAGTGAAAACTTAGAAAGCAAACACCACACTTGTGTAGTACAGTGTCTGTGGATCAGGCCTGCTGCTGTGTGACCTTGGACAGACCCTCCGCTCAGTGCAGCCCTCTCTCTTCAGGTTGGGAACAATGACGTGGATGATGTGAACATCATAGTTTTTTTAAAGATCAACCAGTTTGACCTGAGTGGAAATGTGATTACTTCTTCGGAGTATCTTTCCACTTTGTGGGTAAGACCAGAGCCTTTAGAGGTGGTTTGTCTGCTAAGACTCAGCGGGGGACATGTCTGTCCTTGTGGGCCCTGCCTTTAGCTTGCTACAGAGGGAGCTGGATTTGGAGCTGATTATTGAGTGATGAGGGAAGACTTCAGTTTAGGGTGGCAAAAATGTCACCCCTCAATCTGGCAGATGGCAGTAGAGCCTCATGAAGGCTCAGCACAACGGAGCACTTAAGGACAGTTTTAGACAATGTGCCTCATACAGTTTGTTCTCTGGTGCTAAGCAAGGCCCGAGTCAGGCAGTCTGGGAGCTTCTCATCTTGCTGTCTTGGCCACACATAGCACTCCCATGTCCCTTGTTTCTCTACTTTAAAACCAGAACCTTGGACACAGTGACCTGAACCTATGTCCCAGCTCTGACAGAATCCATGGGAAATTTAGAACATTTATAAAAAGGCCCATGATCTCTGGGAGAGTTAATGGTTTGCCCCAGGGTCTGGGTAGTATGCTTAGAACACAGTGAAAGATTTGGCCTTCGATTTGCTCTTGGCACCCTTAGTCAGGACCAGATAGCATCTGTGTGGGGTGGGTAGATAGTGTCAGGATGCCCTGAAGGTGAGGGAGGATGGCACCATGGCCTACTGACACCTGTTGCTATGCTAGAATTTTGACCCAGGGTTCAAATCGCAGAGTCAGCTGAAATCACCTATTTTTTTTTTTTGTAGCCAATGAATTAAAATTTACCTGCAATACTGAATGCAGCCAAAGAGTATACACATGGTCTTAGGCATGGTCTGGAGGCAGGCAAAAATGGAGCCCTCACAGCCTCTGTCATGGACCGGGACTGTGACTCCTTCCTGTACTCCAGTGCATGGTGCAGAGGAGGACACTGCAACTGCAAATCAGCTCAGAACTGGAGCTGGTCAGGAAGCAGCTACAGAACCAAAGGCCACAGCACACACTTCTAGTTCAGGTTCCCGTGTGTTAGGTCATGTGGTGAGATAAGCTGTGTGAAGCTGACACTGCCTCGGGATAAGTCTGCAGACCCTAGGTGCCTGCAGCACTCTGGAGTCCTATGGATGGACGGTCTTTTGTCCTTAGGACTGGCGATATTGTTTACGGAGTGCTTGTTGTGCAAGCAGCACATGAAGACTGTTTTTTCACTCACATCATTTCACATCATTAATGATGGCATTAATAACTGTTTAAATCTGCCTGAACTTGCCATCTCTGCATTGCTCACACTGGAGTCTTGGGGTTGGACTGTATCCTGAGGCCTGTTTTGGGAGGGGTCAGTCACATCAGCCCCATTTTCCCATCCTGTGTGAGAGAAGTTGTCCCCTTGTGGTGCCATCACCTCAGGGTCATAAGCATTGACCTCTTCCCTTCTGCCTCCAGGTGAAGTTGTACAGAAGCGAGAATCTTGACAACCCCATCCAGACAGTGTCGCTCGGCCAGTCTCTCTTCTTCCACTTCCCACCGCTGCTCCGAGACGGCGAGGTAACACCAGGCCCAGGCACTCAGCCTTATTAATGACTTAGTCTAAATGCCTCTCTGCAGAAATGTACCCCTCTCAGGCAAAGGAGGGTGGGCTCTGCAGGCCTGAGTCTCTCAATCCACTGTTTTTCTGTTTAAAAAAGATATGAGGATTTCTAGCAGGAGATTTTAGAAAGAAATTAAAACCATCAGACATAATCCCAATTTCCAGAAATAAGGAGTAAGAGGGTGTTAACTGATATCCTTTGGGTCTTTTTCAGTATGTATAAGTGTGTCGCGCGCGCATATGTTAAAAAGTGTAGTTATTGTGTTGATTCAAAGCTGCTGCTGTTGTGCATGTTGGCTGTGATCTGTGGTTTTCAGGGAAGAATCTGTCATGCATAGCTCCCTGTCATTGGCTCTTTCATTTCATGCTGCCCAGTTGTTGCTCATGGCCCTGCTGTTGGGAAGTGTCTACTTTAACCAGGGCATCCCATACTCTAGCGCTCTGGATCCGCTGCCCATCTTTCTCTTGGACTTGCTTCTTTTTGTCTTGTGGGACAAGCCTCTTGCTGCTCTCAGGTTTTCCGATATTACTAAGGATTGGTCCAGGACCTCACACATGTCTGGCAAGCTCTGTCCTACCAAGCGGCATCCCATTCTCTGTGTTTGGCAATTACCATGTGTCTCTAAGTTGTACCCATTTGACATTTTCTGAGCTTTGGCCTAGGTGTCTGTCCTCCACCCCAGAGTTGTCAGTTACTGACTTGACTGGCCTTGTAGAGAACTTGTTTTCCATGGCTTTAGCTTGGTGTTGCTCTCTGTGAACCTAGTGTGTAGCACTCTATCCTGTAGTTTCTTACTACTCCAATGGGGCTGCTACACAGGACCACTTTGTGTGTACACTGGTGGCAGCTGTCACGGGGCTTGAGATTTCTGTCTACTCTCTCCACACGTTATTACTCCCTATCTGTGAAATAGGGATTATCACTCCAGGCTTCCCATAGTCACTGTCAGGGTAACAGAGTTTGACACAGGCCTCGGATTTCACCACGAGCATTGTAGAAATGCCACTTTTCTAGAATTTGCCGGTTATGAGCCAGTTAATATCCACATCCCAAGCACTCGGTCTTGTTTTACATTAGTGCCGGCTCCCATGCGGCTCCATCACCCCCTCTTTCATCAGAATCACTAGTAAGAACTATGTTTCTTGAAGCCAGTCCTAAAAGGACTGTAATTACCCAGATTGGATATGCTCATAAAGAAGTGCCATGGCCATGACAGTCCTATCAGAAGACGGAGGCCCAGAGCTGGAGGCCCGTGGCTGTTACAACCTGAAAGTTAGTGACTTTGGATTGGACAGACTCGGGGCGTCTTCACAAACCATAAAGTGCTGTGCATGACTGCTTTGCCTGAGCTGTCTGTCTTACACCCACAGAACTATGTTGTGCTTCTGGACTCCACGCTCTCCAGATCCCAGTATGACTACGTCCTGCCGCAAGTCTCTTTCACTGCAGTGGGCTACCACAAGCACATCACTCTGGTTTTCAGTCCCACGGTAAGTAAAAGTGTGGGTTTTTGTTTGTTTGTTTGTTTGTTTGTTTTTAAATATCCACAGCTGGAAGGCATGACAGGACTCCCATGGGGTTATTTTCCCATCTTGGATTTCCCTGACACCTTTCTTCCATCCCCTGCACTGGGGCCTGTTGTGGGAAATGTCATGGGAGGGCCGAATTTCTCAGACCAGTGACTTGGGGTTTGAGGGAGAGAGACACCATTTTCCCATGACCATTGCATTCCTTTACTGGGACACTGCAGTCTGTAACAACAACCACAGCTTCATAGGCAGTTCAGAGGACACAGTGTGTAAATGACAGCAGGCATGGACTCAGTACAGCCTCAGTAATTTGACCAGTACATTGCAAGGGAAAACAGCAAACAGGTTGACCCACAGGTGAAGAACCTGGCCAATTTTTCAGACTCTATAGTAGGTGGACAGCTTCATGGTGTCCAAAAAAGCTAGTGTGTGTTCGTTCTGCATTCAGGGGATCCTTTATGCTGGTTTTGGGAGCTTGTGTGTGGTAGAGTCACTGTGAACTTAACAGAGACGTCAGTGGTGCAAGAGGTTGGCTCCAGGCCCAAGCTCAGGTTGGGGGCCAAAAATGGAGCACCAGAGGCTGCATTACAAAAGAGAAGTCGTGCCATTGAGGTAGCCCAGTGGGTAAGGGCAATCACCATGCTTGATGACCTGAGTTTAGTCCTGGAACTCACACGGTGGAAGGAGAGAACCAACTCTCACAGATTATCCTCTGACCACACCCATGCATGGTGCATGCAGACATACACTCTCACACATAATAAATGTAAAACATTTTTTAAAGAAAGAGAAGCCTCACTTTACAGCTGTGGAGTTAGTCACTGCTTCTGGGAAAAGTAAGAATCTATGTTTCTTGGAGATGCCCGGGGATTGCTAGATTTCATAGCTGCGCTGTTCTCATTGTGTGGAGGCACCGTGTGTCTCGATCTGTTCAGGCTACTAAAATCCACTTTAGAGCAGGTAACTTGCAAACAGCAGCTGCTCCTCATAGTTCCATAGGCTGGGATTGGAGATGCCGCTGGCAGATACAGCGGGTGCCCAGGTCTTCTCTGCTTCACAACAGATGTGCTCCCTGTAGCTGTGTCTTGCACCACAGATGGGCGAGCCAGTTCCTCTCATCCTGATTCTGAGGACGCTGACCCCATTGTCGGATGCTCTCCTCTCATCACTAATCACCTCTGAAAATCGGTGTCCCCAGACCTTTCTGTCAGTATGTCACATTGGTTTCACATGTGACAGGTCTCAACAGGGAAATTGGGGGAGAGTGTGTTTATAATCACAGCAGCTCAGTGTGTCTAACACATCCCTGGTGTGGACATGTAGCTGGCTGCGTTTTCTGCTCTGTCACGCATGCTTTTGAGTCAGTCTGTCTTTGGAACTGACAGAGTGGAATTGCTTAGTCAAGGATGTGCAGGGCTGGGGTGTAGCCCAGCTGGTAGAGTCCTTGTCTAGCACATAAGAGCTCCGAGTTGGATACCCAACCCGCAGCAGCCAGGCATGCTGGTACAGGCTTTTGGGAGGTAGAGGTAGGAAGGTCAGAGGCACAAGGTCATCCTCAGCCAGCGTGATTTCATCTGTGATGGTGAAAGAGAGTGCTTGAGTTCCAGATCTGAGTTTTGGGTATTTAGGGGACTCAGGTGATTCACAACCACACCCCTGTTAGTTTCTTTTGGGATAGCAAGGGATTATGGGTAACCTTGGGTGCTGATGGTGAAAGAGAGTGCTTGAGTTCCAGATCTGAGTTTTGGGGATTTAGGGGACTCAGGTGATTCATATCCACACCCCTGTTAGTTTCTTTTGGGATAGCAAAGGATTATGGGTAACTTTGGGTGTCGGTGTGGGTGGTGACTGAGTGGGTTGAAGCTCTGGGTGACAGTGGTGGATGAGTGTGAGAACTCACAAGAACTCACAGCTCTCTGTTACAGAGAAAGCTACCTGAGCAAGACATTGCACAAGGTTCCTACATCGCCCTGCCCCTGACATTGCTGCTCCTGTTGGCAGGCTACAACCATGACAAGGTAGGGAAGGCAGATGTCAGGAGACAGACCCTGGGAGTGTGCCCAGTGTCACAGAAGTTATAGGAGGTTAAGGTTGGAGGGAGCCAGGCAGCTGTCCCGGGATCCCTGTGTCTCCTTTGAAGTTTAACTCCAGTGACATTATTAATCTTTAGGACAAGCTAGACATAAAGACATAATCTTTATGTCCAGCAGGTGTTGTCCTGGAGAGAGGTAACACCTCTGGTGGTAAAGTCTCCTTGCCAATGCCCATGAGGGCAGAGCTCTCTGGGTGTCTCATGATCTCTCTCATTCCAGCTCATTCCTTTGCTGCTGCAACTGACGAGTCGTCTTCAGGGAGTCAGAGCCCTCGGCCAGGTGGCCTCTGATAGCAGTGGCCCAGAGGACATGAAGAGACAGACCAAGAAACAGAAGACCAGACGCACGTGAGGAAGAAAGGCTCGTCCCCTGCAGATGGCACAACCAGGGCTGCCACCTGCCTGGGACAAAAGCACATACTCACTCACTTCAGGCAGGCCCTGGGCCCTGTGACCCTTCTTTTGGTGTCCTGCCTGTCTGTCCTCTCCTGTGTAGCCTTGTGGTGCAATGCGACGAATGGACTCTCCTGTCACCCTGCTGAACACAATTTATTTTCTGAGTTGAAGATAATTTATTATTATTATTTTTGTCAGAGAAGTATTTAAGCTGAGCTGGTGGCGTGAGAACGTAATTCATATCTTCCACATTCGTTTGCAAGAAGAGTCCAGTAAACACGGCATTTGTCTTCATGGTGAATACCTGCTGGACTTCCCCCAACTCCCCTCTGCACTTGGCCCCCTGGAAGCTGCAGCAGCATCTGTTCACACCAGAAGGACCTGTCAAGAGCTGGAATGAATAAAGTCACCCACTCATTTGTGTTGTAGCTCATCTCATATTCTTTAGGGCCTTGGCATGGTGCTAGGTGCCTGCAGAGTGTGTGGGCATTCAGCTACAGTAACTGACACAAGCCATGGGGATATGGCATAGCCAACCTGTGGCCAAGCTCAGTGGACACAGTGATCCCCCTGGGGTGCATATTCTATATTCTTGAGAAGCCAGAAAGACTCTGTAGTAATAGGCTTTAAAATTAATTTAGTTCTTGGTATGTGTATCTCTGTGTGTGTGTCTATGTCTCTATCAACTGGCCACTTGCTTGCTGCCTGCACAGGGCTGGTAAGCTGCACCGGCCCCTGGGACAGATGAGATGCAGTCCACATCCAGTGTGTTTCTAACTCTCTCCAAGTGGACACCACTCTTAAAGTTTCATGGGGCTTTTTATTGACACAGTGTAAAGGTTAAAAGCTTGTGAGACAAATGTCAGTGGGCTTTGTCCAGCTCCAAAAGTGGCCATAATGTAGCAGCTTCACCATGTCACTCATGGGTCACCGTTGGTGTTGGCTCAACCTCCTTTTTCAATCCATTTGAAAACAGGGCTTGTCCTGTTCTGACTTTCTGCATTTGCTGGACTGATTGAGGCAGAGCACCAGTTTCCCTCATGGGAAGTAAGCATTCTGTCTAGTGGATTGTGAATGGCACAAAAGTGTGACACACTGTTGATGAGATATGTAGCCAGGGGATACAGTTCAGTTGGTAGAGTTCCATCCTCAGCACTGCCCAAAAAGGCATAGTGGTACATACCCTGTAATCCCAGGGAGATGGCAGCCGGAGGATCAGAAATTCACGGTCATCCTTACCTACAAAATGAGTTTGCGGCTAGCTTGGGCTATATGAGAAAATGCCTTCTGGTCTTTCCTGTTTGGGGGTTGGGGAGCATACTTGTGCCTAACTCTAAGGACCAAATTGTTGGGAAGGAAGATTCATGAAGTAGAATGAAAGCACTAGCCCTTCCTGGCTTAACACAGGCTCATTGTGTCCCCAGCACTGAGGCTGAGGCAAGAGGATTGAGAGTTCAAAGCCATCTTGGCTTACAGAGGGAGTTCACCAGTCTAGGTGACTTAGACCCTGTCTTAAAGGGTAAGAAGAGGGCAGGGATGTCGCTCAGAGCACTCCCTATCCTGCGTGTTTGAGGCTGTGCTGGACCCTGTTATGTGTCATCCATGGACCTTGAGTGTCACCAGCCTTGTTCTACACAGTTAGCAATGGGGACTTACATCCAGGAGTTCTAACCACTATGTTCTGCCTCTGCCAAATGGAAGCTAATAATGCAGTTGTGTGCAGTGTTTAGAAAATGTGTGTTGTGTGCAGGTGTGGGCACAGTGCCAGATGGATGGATGAGGACCTTCCACTTTGCTGTGGGAGCAGAGTCATACGAGTGAGTACCCAAAGCCAGGAAGAGACGCGTCCCTAAAGGCCAGAGTAGCCAGGAGAAAGTTGGGCAAGTTCAGGGGAAAAAGCTGGCTTAGTCACTGATGGTTCATCTCAATGTCAGCTTGAAGGGTGGAATCCCACAGAAACAAATCTCTGCAGGACCTGGGTCAGCTCCCAGCACCCACGTGCTGGTTCACAACCATCCAGTTCTCTTCAGGGACCAGACACAGAGTGCATAGACATATATGCAAGTAAAAAAAAAAAAAAAATCTGGGGTAAAGCGATGACTACGAAGTTAAGAACACCTACTACTCTTCCAGAGCACCCCAAGTTCTGTTGCCAGTACCCACTCTGAGTGTGTGTGTGTGTGTGTGTGTGTGTGTGTGTGTGTGTGTGTGTG